ATTATAACAAAATTATATTTCGTTATTTTTTCTTCGTCAAATTTACAAGAACCTTAAGAAAAGACATTTGACGATAAATCTTTTTATTAAAATTAAATATATAAATATAATATAGAATAAAAAAATAAAAGATATATGTATATAACTTATATACGTATATACATACATATATATATATATATATATATATATATATATTATAATATATATATATATATAAATCCGAATTAAGCTTTCAAGGATTCACATTACTTTGCACAACTAAAACAAATAAAAAAAAGAAAAAAAAAAATAATAATAATTTAATAAAATTCGTATATAAATAATAAGAAACATTTAACAATAATTATTTAATAAAAATATAAAAATTAAATTTTAAATAAATAAGACAAATTTTTATTCCCAAAAATGATTATGTATACAACATATATACGTAATTTTATATATTATTTTTATTATTTTGTAAAATGAATTATTATTTTGACTTTATTATTTTTTAAAAGATTTACTATATCGTAAATTTTTTTCTGGGTAAATTTATTTCTTTTTTTTTTCTTTTTTTCTCTTTTTTTTTTTTTTTTCAAATTACTATTTTGTAAAATGAAATTTCGTCGGGTTCGAGGGTATCCTTCATGTCTTCTCGAATATATCAAGAAAAGTCGTGTAACTAAGTCGAGTCAAGTTCAGTTCAGTTCAATTCAGTCCAGTCGAGTTGGATAATAAAATTTAGAAAGGAACTTTACTCTTCTCATTTCTCTCTCTTCTTGCAAGTAAAGAGATGGAAGAAAAAGAGATAGAGATAGGGATAGAGATAGAGTGAGAGTGAGAAAGAGAGAGAGAGAGAGAGAGAGATAGAAAAAGAGAAAGAGAAAGAGAAAGAGAAAGAGACTCGAAACATGAAAGAAGAGATTTAAGATCGAAGAAGACTGAAACGATGATTCTCTTGCTCTATGGTGAACGTCTCGAGTGTATGCCGCGAAAATGAAAGCGGAATGGGGGCACAGTATCAAAGCGCGAGAACGAGCCACCATGATAGTTTCTAAACGATCCCAGATGCGTTACGAAAAATCCCATAGAATAGAATAGTATATAGCTTTATTCCAACGAAACGCGTGTATCGAGGAGACGAACGAGAGTTCATCAGATGGATCAAACAGCTGTGCTATTAAATAAAACGTATACCGTCTAGGATTACCAGGAAATCGAGAGTGCATGATGATAACATGATAAAGTAATCATAAATCTTTTAACGATCAGAAAAATAATATAAACGTTTTATTATGATTTAAATTATAAAAATATTTGTATAAAAAATATTTACGTTGTCGTTGGTGTATAGTTTGAAGCATTTTTTTTTTTTTTTTTTTTTTTTTTTTTTTTTTTTTTTTTTTTTTTTTTTTTTTTTTTTTTTTAATAAATTAATAAAACGTTTCGAAAAATTTCGAACTAAACCAATCAATTGGGATGATGGGGAGAAGATGGGGTGAGGGGAGGAGGGGGTTGGGATATCTTATGAATTGTCATAGATATTCTTTAGGGATCGACAAATTTTCGAAATTTCAAGGTGAACTTTGGTTTTTCTTTTTTTCTTTTATTTTTCTTTCTTTTTTTCTTTTTATTTTTTTATTTATTTTTTTTTTTTTTTGCTGTACACAACAACCATATGTTTTTACTTAGGTAGGCGTGTATGCTGTAGGCCTGCTTCGAGACGAATTCATCATAACTTCGGTCTTTCAAGATAGCTCAAGGTCGAATAAAGTTTTCTTTTTCTTCTTTTTGTTTTTGTTTCTCTCTCTCTCTCTCTCTCTCTCTCCCTCTCTCTCTCTTATTTTCTTTTTCTCCCATCGTAACAGAGTAAGTTCTACTTACATGAAACATTTTTTTTTTTTTTTGAAACGAGAACTGTTCGCTGCGGGAAATAATTGTGTTGCGAAACTTCAAATGGTATACACCCCTGCCAATCATGTAACATACATACATACATACATACATACATACATATATACATAAATTTTGTTATTAAATATATTTACTATTTAATAAGAAAATTGAGATAAGAGATATTAAAAATACATGTTTTGTTCGTTCATAATTATAAAGTTTTATACAAACGAGGCAAAAAAAATTAATGAAATATATATATATATATATATTCATTTTATATATTAACTTTATTAGTATGTTTACTAACTAATATTTAGTATGTTTACATAGTATTTTAATATATATATATATATATATATATATATATATATATATATATATATATAAAATACTATGTAAACATACTAAATGTTATATAAAAAAAAAAAATCATTAAAAAAGATGTAGTAAAGATTAGATATAAAGCATAGAATGTTCTATTATTATATAAGTAGTACGTTTAACATAGTATACTGTATTGCAATTAATTTTTGTCGTGTTAAAGATTCGATTAAAAATATTTTTTTTTTCTTTTTTCTTTCTCTTTTAGTGACACCCTATTATTTCCTAAAGAATGATCAGTATTAATCGTTACAATTTTTTCGAATAAATTTTAATAGGAAACATCGTTGGATCCATTTGACGAATAAAATTGACTTATCTTGAAAATCTTACGTAGAAAAAAATATTGCGTTTTCGTCTTGGGGAAGGAAAAAAATTTTTTTCTCTCTTTTTTCTTTTTTTTTTTTCTATTTTTTTTGTTTTTTTGTTTTTCTCTATCCTGTAGAAGAAAAATTCAAACTTTCATATCGTAGATGATTATTCAATTAGAGATGGTGAATGAATACGAATGATATTTGGCGGGAAATTTGATTGAATAGAAGGGTCACGCACGATTACGTTGGACGTGACGCGTTGCGGACAAGATTACGCGTGGCCGCTGTCAAGAAATGGACGGAGATGTACGCCACGGATGACTTCTCAATTCGACTTCTTTTTCTCTCTTTCTTTCTTTTTCTTTCTCTCTCTCTCTCTCTCTCTCTCTCTCTCTCTCTCTCTTTCGTTTTCTCTATCTTTCTCTCTTATTCACTCTTATTCAACTGGTCGAGATAGAGAGAACGAAACGGAAACGAGACGGACGAGACGAGACGAGACGAGACGAGACGAGACGAGACGAGACGAAGCAAGATCGTGTGTTCAAGATCGAAGAGGCCATAAATCTATCCGCTTGTGTTCGCGTAGTGAGTTTCTAAGTTTCTCTCTCTCTCTCTCTCTCTCTCTCTCTCTCTCTCTCTTTCTCTTTCTCTTTCTCTCTCTGTCTTTCTCTTTTTCTGTCAGTCTTATTTTTCTCTTTAATCTTCTCTTTCTCTATTTACAATAGTCATGGGTTTTAACCATCTAATAATATTTCAATAAAAATGTATGAATTCATTGTACAATACGAATCTATATGTGTCTATCTATATATTATTTTAATTAGATTTTGTTATAATATTTATAATTTATATAATATTTATAAAAATAAATAAATAAATAAATATATATATGTGTGTGTGTATATATGTATTTATGTATGCATGTATGTATGTACGTGTATATAAATATCTTTCATTAATAGAAAAAATAACAAAGAATGTGACCAATAAGGTCATAGATGATTTGAAAAAAAAAAAAAAAAAAAGAAGAGAAAGAAAAAAGAGTAAAGAGAAATTAATTAATCTCTCAAACGAGAAACTTTTTGGCTCTGACTTTTCCTTTCTTTTTATATTTCATTCTTATTTTGTCTTGTAAAATTAAATAGAAGAAGAAGAAAAAAATAAAAAAAACAAAAAAACAAGAAAGAAAATATTTAATAAATTTCATACACACACCTTCGTAACTTACGACGAACAAACGATATCTATGAAAATGAAATTATTACGGTGATATCATTGAAAATTATAGAAGAGAAATTTCAATAACGATATATATATATATATATATATATATATATATATATATATATATATATGTATATATATATATGAATTCATTCTCACGATTCGATCATTGTTGTTGATTGTGCTTCGTACGAAGGATAAGAAAGAGACACGGAGAGATAGACAGAGGGAGAAAGAGCGAGCGAGAGAGAGAGAGAGAGAGAGAGACAAGAGAGAGAAAGAGCATAAGAGCAAGTAAGAAGAACAAGAGAGAAATAGAGAGACAGAGAAAGAAGACAGAGAGAGAAATATAGATAATATCATATGTTCTACAAGAAGAGGTACAGAGAAAGAGAGAGAGAGAGAGAGAGAGAGAGAGAGAGAGAGAGAGAGAGAAAGAAAATGGCAGAGAGCAGGAGAGAGGGAGGGAGGGAGGTAGGGAGATAGGGGAAGAGAGAGAGATAGATAGATACATAGATAGAGAAGAGGGATGCGCGAAAGGGCTGACTTAATGAAATTATGCGCTTGGAATTAATTGCGGGTAAGTTGGATTCGCCGTCCGCTATCCCGGGTCGTAATTAAATTAGCATGGCGAAATGGTCCGCGTGCTAAATGATTGTGTAACGACGCGGACGTGAGCACGCGAGAAACTCTTTGCAAACGACACGGCGAAATTGCTTTCCACTCTTCGTCGAGCCGTTAACTTATTATTAAGCATCTCACTCATTCTATTTATCTATGCATCTCTCTTTCTTTCTCTCTCTCTCTCTCTCTTTCCCTTTTTCTTTTTTACATATAAAAACGAAAACACATATCCATGAATGTCTTTCGGTAAATCGTAAATCTTCGTTCACACGGACGAAAATATAATTTAAAAATATCATTTTGTAACGGGAAAAGAAATTCTTAAAGGAATGAATTTTTTTTCCTTTTTTCTTTTTTTTTTCTTTTTTTCTTTTTGTTTTTTTTATAATCATCGCGGCTCTACTTTGCTTGTCAATAATATTTCATTAAATACGAAATAAGAATTTTATAACGAGTGAATAATAGAGACATGATAACGATCGATCGATTTAAAATATATTACAGCTAGTAGTTTCTCGT